ACAATAGAACCGACACAATGTGTGTGTGCATTTTTTGTGTATCCATGTTTGTGCCTGGGTGGCTGTATCGATGACGCTTTTAGTCTATAATCAAATAGAAGTAGCCATTAGTATACCGAATGTCGTTTTTTAAACATTTTGCAGAAAAGCACCTCTCTCAGAAATTATGTTTTTCAGTATTTTTTCATGTTCCTTTCGATTAAGGTCTACTTGTCCTGAATAAAGAAGATTTCAAGATATAAGAAAGGATGGTCAGTCTACAATGTAAATGTATTGTAATTTGTCCCCTTAAGCAAGTAAAAAAAAAAGTAAGGGAAATAATAATAATAATAATAATAATGATAATATTAATAATAAAGAAAACTAGCAAAGTACAAAGAAATCGAAATCTCAAAAATGTGGCACATAACGACATCAACAATCCCAGTTGTAGCTGGTGCCCTGGCTTTGATTGGTAAAGATTCCGATAGATTCACTGAAGGGATCCCTGGTAACTCAAGCCTTAAAGAAATACGAAAAATTGTACTTATGAACACAGACAACTCAACTTGAGAATGATAGATAGAGAAAGGGTTTTCGGTGAGGTGGTTCTTACACGTCACCAATGTAGACATGGTCTCTTTCGTGTCTGAAACGGCTCCCCAGTGGAGGAAGAGCGGCTCCACTGGATAGTTAGAAAATGTAGACATCGACAACATTATTGCAACTAGATAAGTTAAAATTATTTTTGTTGACATCTTTCATATCTGGATCCAAAAACATTTCGCCACACAGCCAAGAGAAGAGAGAGGGACATGCAACACCACACCTTCGGAAGGGATTTTTCTATGGGAAACGTGTTTGATGTTAGGTTGTATTTTTAGGGGTTTTTTTTGCAAAAATTACCAGTGGAAAGTATCACGATGCTATTTCTGACCTTAAGTCTCTGGTTGGGACGCAGGAAAAATGTGTATCACCAACCAAACCTACGGCAACTATGCCGAGATAAATTTGATCCGTCATACGTGTTCGTTTGACGACCTTTATCTTTCAATCGATTTATTGTAATTTATTCAGATATACGAAATATTGTGTTGATGAAATTAGGGTGCGATGGATAAATTGTCGCCTGAAAGCCGCAAAAATGAATATAACACGCGCATCTCATTTTAACAGATATATTTATCAAAATTACACAAACATATCTTTAAATCCTAAAGAATACATTTATTCAATAAAATCGCCATTGGCTTCAACCATGGTTGGCTCCAGACGACTTCGGAATCTCCTGCATCTCTTCTGGACAGTCTTCTTGTTGAAGTTGGTGAATGCTGCTATAATCCTTGCCTTTAGTTCATCTTTGGTGCTACAAAGAGATTTGTTGGTCTCTAGCGCCCCATACATAATAATCGATGGGGTTGCAGTCTGGGAAGTTAGGTGGCCAGATGTAAGGAGTGGTATTGTTGCAGAAATTGTCTGACGCCATGACTGGGTTCGCCTAATTGTGTGGTATGGTGCAGAGTCCTTTTGCCAAACATGGGGTCTTCCAGCAGTCACTACCTCTTCAAAGAACTTGATGTAGGCCTCCGTGTTGAGTCTGAGGCCCCCACCAATAAATTCGTGAGTTATTTTATTATCAGAACGTTCAGAGTGAGTTTTTCGAGCTGCCGTACCAATCACCATTAGACTCATCCTACTCTTTCTGAATACTCTGAACTTTCCTCAGATTGATGCCCAAACACACTGAAATATTCGTATCGAAGTTTCCAGTGCGAATACCAAGCAGGACAGCCTGCCACTATCCAAATTTCTGGCGGAGCGAATTGGGTCACTTTCCACAAAATCAAAAATACCGACGTGCTTGTCCGAAATTAAAAATAGAAATGGCGACAATTTACCCATCGCACACTGTATATGTTTGAGCCTTCTATTGTCTTTCTATTTAATGAGGAATAAAGTTTATATTGATAATACAATACTAGTTATTTAATACACATACCCTATGTATAAGGAGAAATAAAGAAAGGTTTGTCTCAAAATAAATTTAGTAACAAAAAGTAAAACGGAATAAAATTTGATACATATCAATAAATAACGTTCAGTATTTAATGGAGTGTCCCATTACCTAACATGTGGCGGTAGTCAGGCACTTAGAATAATTTGAGGAAAATATCTTGCAAAAGTCAACACTAATTCTATTTCACTACTGTTGCCAAATCGCCATAAGATTTTAATTTTAAAGGTTTCTTCTAATGATCGCGAAATTCAATAACCTCCCGCGAATTTTGGTCCAATCTAAATCTTATTTTCTTCGCCTGAAACAAATCTTTGATTTTCACTTCAGTCTAACTGTGATCGTTATCTTGTTGAGGATGCCAAACAATTCCATGGTTTGAGAAAGTTCGCAGATGGAAGCAGGTTCTTTTCTTATATTTGAATTATCCAATTTTTTTTTAATGTTATCTGATGAGCCTCGACCACGGAATGAAAAACAATCCTTTATATTTATAAATCTATCACTGCGTTTAAATATCGGAAAGGCATTCTACACGTCACTTGAAGTATCTTTTTTCTCTCCAGACATGCTTCACACCATTTCTACAAAAGAACACGACTTCAATATTTTGCAACAGAATGAACTAATTTTCTCGGGGTCATGGACTGCAATATGTAGACGAGTTTCAAAATTCCTGGGCTTCAGTAAAGAGGTTTTAATTTTGCAGTCCTACTCAGTGGATTATATGACAAGTTTTATGATTGCTCACTTCTTTAGAAGTTGCCTTGAGGTCCTTCTGAAGTTCTCATACGATTCTCAATGATTTCTGTACAATTTGTTGATATTTTTGTATCTAGCTGTCATTCACTTATTTTAAAAAGACCTCCTTTAAGAGACTGATTGCGAGTAAAGCAATGTTCCTTACATTATCAAATGATGATTCTTAACGAACTCGTGGGAATCTGTAGATTATTGGAGGACATTTAATATGCTATTCCATTACGCGATTGGTCAATTATCCCTCAGGGGTGATCCTTTGTCTTTGCAAAAAAAAAAAAAAAATTGCATTTGACTGCTCAAACTGGCCATAACTGCCATTTGTCTGTCAAGATGAATAACAGTCTCTTATTGGTTCGCAGAAATGATGAAAATTAGTACAAGTCATTCTGAAAGGACAATACTTATTCTGCTTTCTTTATATATTTGTAATATATTTGTTATATATCCATAAAGTTTGCAGTTTACTTCTTGTATCTTCTAAATAAATAAACAGCAAATTCTGTCTGTCCATCCGTGTGTCTGAAACCGCCTCTACGTTGGGCCAAACTTGCTCTACATAAACATATTATGCTTTTTTAGGATCAGGTTGACCCCAGAATATAAACTCCACCCTTGAACATCCAATATGAGTATTGGAGTTCAGATGATGAAGGAACAGTTAAAAATTCAAATTTTAAAATAACTGAAATAAAATTAGTGATTTTAAAAGTTTTTAATTTATATTGATTTCAAAGTAACACAAAAACTTTGTGATTTTTTTTTTTGCTTTAAATTCAGTTTAATATATCCCGAAAAGTTTATGTAGTGAGGAAATCAATTTTATTTCCTCAAAATGCCAAGGCATCAGATTTAAAGTGAGAGGTTACATGACGTGAGATTTTGAAGTTCCGTAGCGTTTGTGATTTGAAGAAGAACTCAAAAGAGTGAACCTTCTTTTTTGAGTCTGTCCAAGCTGGCTTTTCAATACGACTGAGACAGTGACTATTCAAATCATCCAAAAGATATCTATTGGATCGATGATCATTCAGTGTAAGCATTGTAATGCTCTCAGATTCGAGGATTAACCAGGTGGAATATACTGTGAAAGACAAAATTACAACTGGAAGATCTACTAGTTCCTCCAAAGCCATTGCTATGGCTTCATCCTTCACATCAGAAGCTACAATAACAGTTTCGTAATGACCCCATTTGGAGTCAAAGATGCTACCTTGCCAGGATGCAAGACAACTTATAGAATTCAGGGTATGAGCCTGCTTAAAAGGCCGCATCTAGTTTTGCTTTTAAGCTAGTTGTCAATAAATCAATTTGCAGGCAAACGTTTCTTTATTTCTAAAGAATATTCTAAGTATTAAGTATTTATTCAGTTTAGGTTTTATGTTTAGTAGCATAAAAATAATTACATATTTTCCAAAATTCTTCATTGTGTGTGTATATGTGTGTGCATGAGTGTGAATGTTTGTTTGTGTGCCTGTATGTATGTCCCTGAGTCTGAGTATGTATGTATGACTCTGTATGTGTGAGTCTGTGTGTTTTTTTAATATCAATCGCTTTCATAACATACTGAATAAATATCTACATTATTTGAATTCGGGCTAATGAATGATAAACACCTGAAGAAAACCAGAGGGTTCAATAGTCGAAACGTTGTGACAACAAAGATGAAAAATTTAATCTTAATACAAATAACGTAAATAAGGATGATTATTCATGCTAAAAACTCAGACAGAAATATTGTAGAATCTATCTTCTTCTTTTAATAAAGGTAATAAAATGTTCTTCTTAAACGCATCCATCTTCATTTGATGTTGATTGCCCTCTCTACCAAATCTCTTTTCATTTTTTTTTCAGGCAAACCGAATTCGCCTGGCATTTCTGATTGACGAAATAACTATCGTCCAAAAAATACATGGAATTTACGAAGGAAATGGTCGGCACGTTTATATCCGTCATAAAGCAATCATTAAAATGCAACCGCCATTCTATACAAAGAAGTTTAACGCTGACAACATCGCGAGAATAAATTGCCATTGATTTCCGACCCTTGATATTATGAAAACCAGAAATCCACAAATGGATTTCCAACGTTTTTATTATTTCAGAACCCGAAGAATTAATATAAATTATAAAATTCTTTCCCAACATCACGTTAACAAGATTACAAATTTGACTATAGATAATTGTATAGGATATTACTCTAAGTTTCCATAGCTCTATGCAGTACTTCTATAAATTTCTAGCTTACGGACACATCACGTTAAAAAACCGGTACCCGTAAGGTCACCGACGTTAAGCATCGTCGAACCTGGTCAGTAGCTAGATGGGTGGCCGCTTGGGAATAACCGGGTGCTGTAAGCTTGGATATGCTGTTTCTATAAGCCACGGAATTGGAAAATAGAAAACCGTTTCCCAATTCCGAGCAATACAATGTCAATCTCTATCTGTTGTCCTCCTGATTACTGTCTTTTTGTTCTCTCTCCTTAGGAATATTAATGTTTTGTCATTGTTGCACAGCCAATAACCTCTATTGCCTTACTTGAGGTGAACTCGATTAAAAAATGAATCTTGTCACAGAGCAAAGTGGATTAAAGGTTTTCTCCAGGAAAGATATTTCAAATTAATGCCATGCCTAGCAGCTGATCTAAATACAAATGTAAATTTAAGGTGTAAATTTAAAGAAAAATGGTCAGTGGAAAGACTTCATCCACCAAAGAAAATCTATTAAGCGACATTCGAAAAAGTATACCACAATTCTTTACCTTAACGAAATCCCTGCTTGAATAAATTAATTCTGTCATAAAAGCTCAAGAAGAGAGACATGCGTATTAATTGCAATGTTTTTTCGATGAATTCTATAATTGTTTTTTTCTCAATATTGGGTTATTCCATAATATTTTACTTTGTACGTTTTGGAGAAAAAATATATCATTAATTTAAATAATTAAATATATGTTTGTTCAATATATGAAGCCAAAATGTCTAATTGTTAATTTGAAAACAGAGAAATAAAGAAATAGTCGTTAAATGTGATAATTCCATAATTTTACCAGAAGGTCACTTTCCTTGCAGCTATGTTGTTTCTTAACCTAATCAACGACATTCCTGATGTCACCTATTCCCAAAAATAGGTATTTAATACACAACTATTTACTCAATCAAACTGAAACTGACCGCTGCTCTATAAAATGACCTCCAATCAATTAGGCAAGAACATAATCTGAAAATTGCAAAACCTTCAAAACTATACTACTGCTATACTTTAAACATCATAGAGTATCATTTTGCCCACCATTACTATGGCTGATACTCACCTCCAGTCGAGTAAATCATTGTTCCTCCTGGGTCTGACGATTTCTACTGATATGATTCAGAGCGACTATATCGAATCAATTAATAATTCTGCTGCTAAGAAAATTGGTTAAATGCGTTTTGCCAAACAATTCTTCTTGTCAGAATCCATCTTGCACATTTTTAAATCTACCATTCGCTCATACATTGAATATTGCTGCTATATCTGGTCTGGAGCTCTGGCTATATATCTTGAGAAAGTCTGTAATGTTGTCGCTTCCATCCTTGCATCTCGACTTCAGTCACTTTCCCACCGCCGTGACGTGGCTTCCTGTTGTATTTTCTATAAATATTTTCTTGGCAGTTGTTCTAATGAGCTCTCCTGCTTGGTATATGAAATTAAGCGCAGTACTAGATTGGCAGTTAGGTATCATCATTTTACTATTGAAATAGCTAGATATAACGAAACGTTCTATTCTAAGTATCTTTTCTAGCACTTCGGATCTGAAAAACTTTCTACCGATTTCTTGCTTCCCGAAAATTACAATCTTTGAAAACTGAAATGCGATGTCAATCACCTTCTTATTGAAACATTTTCATTTTATTATCCTTTCTCCTCACTAAATTCGTCTCATTCTCTTCCACTTCCAGTAACCCCTTGAACTTTGGCAGTACACACACACACACACACACACACACACACACACACATATATATATGTGTGTTTGTGTGTGTTTGTGTGTGTGTGTTTGTGTGTGTAGCTATTTCTTCCACTTCCAGTAACCCTTGAACCTTCGTAGTATATATATATATATATATATATATATATATATATGTGTGTGTGTGTGTGTGTGTGTCTCTGTGTGTGTGTCTGTGTGTGTGTGTGTGTGTGTGTGTGTAGCTATTTCAGTAGTAAAAAAATGAGACCTAACTGGCAATCTAGTAGTACGATTTTATTTCTGCAATCAGGATACGGAGGAGATCTCAATAGAGCAACTTTTATGAAAATACTTACAGAAAAGACGAAGAGAAACTACAACACGGCTTTGGAAAAGCGACTGAAATCAAGATGCCAGGTCAGGACCGATAATATTACAGAACCTTTCTTTTAATTTTATAGAGGATCTCGAGATATATAGCCAGAGCAGCAGGCCAGATATATCAGCAATATTTATTTCACATTCGAATGGTAGTGTTATAAATATACAAAATGGATTGCGATGAGAAAATTTGTCTGCCATAACATAGTGAACCAACTTCCCTAGAAGCAGACCTAGCAGTTGATTCAATATAATAATATTATTTCATGTTCAAGCCGGTAGACGAAATAAAATACTGCTAAAAAAAATAAATGGTTCGTCTATCCAAAAATGGATATCCACTAGAAATAACGTTTAAAGGAATAAAATATTTTGGATAAATAAATAAAAATTCATTATGTCTTTAGAAATTACTTTGTTTACGTTTCAGTTACAAAACTGAACAGTTATGAACTTTTAGAAATCTGAACGAGGAAAGTGTGCTTAAAAGACAAAATGGAACAAATCTTCGTCACGACGTTCTTCGTAGCCGAGATAGTTAAAGCCCGGCGAAGGCAGTTGCAGGTACGTATACTGCTAGAGAGCGCATTTCTTTTTCTTAAATAAATGTTCTCAAATGTTCAGTCCAGGTGACGAAATAAAATACTGTTAAAAAAATGAACGGAACGCCTAAATCAAATATGGATATCCACAAAAAAACAGCGTTTAAATTTTTATTTATTTTATATATGAGTTTGTAACACTGGGTTTCACGCCTTTGATATCATCAGGGTTACAAACTCATATCCATACACAACTGAATATGTTAGCTCTATTATTGATAGTGAGCGCTTTCCAATAAGAACCGCGCAATATAATATATATAGAAATTATTCTACACCCTCTCTCTCTCTATATATATATATATATATATATATATATATATATATATATATATATATATGTGGGTCTGTGTGTGTGTGTGTGTGTGTGTGTGTGTGTGTGTGTATGTATACACGCGTAAGTAAGTTTTAGAGCATTTAACGATATATCTCGCTTAATATCACTTTAATTCTGCCTTGATGAAAATACACTCATGCAAACACACACACACACACACACACACGGAGCAAGAGATTGGACGTTTTCAGAAGCGTGAAATCACATTGTAATTGTTGTTCTTCCCAGGTCCACCCTGACCCGAGGTGGTAGCACCTGTTAGGGTCCCAGCTATAGGGAAATAGTAAGCCGCCAAACAAAAATCAATAGTATATTCTTATAGCAAAATGACCAACAATACCTATTTATAGTAAAATTACCAACAATACATTGTTTATGATCTATAAACTATATTTTTCCAAAACAACTTTTTCCCTGAAAGTAAAAATTATGTATAAAATATTTAGATTTCAGTATTAAATAACCCATAGAGGTGTTGATATGCCGCAAAACAAAATCAACCAAATATTTATTACAGATTATATAATATATATCTATGTATATTTATTAAGTTATTATGTTTATTAAACTAATAATAAACTATAAGATCTTGAATTTCACCTTCTTTTGATTGTGCACGAAGGTTCTTGTTTTGTTAGCAAGAATAGTGGACAAAACTACACCGATGGAGAAGGAAAGACAAGTTCTTCCCGATTTTGAAAGCAACAGATGTCACCATGAAATCTGTGAGAAGTTAGAAGAGCATCGTTATCAGGAAAGTCGATGTCTTCCTCTTCCTGCCGTTTATACTTGTAGATTATCTCCTGATCTACTCGAAAACTCATTGACCTGTGGCCCTAGACACCTGCTATTTCCTGTCCTGACATTTCATCAGGAGAAATCCTGGCCGGGATGCTTTGCGCAAAGAGATTTCCTGTTCACCGCCCCACGTCTTCCCTTCAAACAGAGATTCCTCGATCGAATTTCATCGCTTTGGGCATCCTGTAAAATCCTGCAGGCATTGATAAGACATTCTAGAATCTGCGATCATGAATATTTGGTTTACTTGTGGAAGATAAAAAAATAAATATATATCATAAGTAGATGAAATAAAATGTTTTAAAATTCCTAGAAATCGATTCGCCCTCTTTCGTCATTATTCCGACTGTTGATTTTTTTCTTCTTCTTCCTCGGGAGTAAAGATAATCATAGAAAAAAAGACACTGAAGGAAACATAACCAAAACAAATTAAATAAAATATCAAGAAAATTTCACACAGAAGAATAAGAATCATCCTTGACGATTCAGGATCATAAGTTTGTATTCTTCAAAGTTTGCAGCAAGATGACCTAAGCGAAAATCATGATTTAAAAAAAATGGCCATTTTAAATAATCCTGCAAATTTTATTTATATCATACCTAGAAAAAGAAATGTGTCACTTAGGTTAATAAAATGCATTTGCTTCATTTTTATTAATAAGTTCTAATTATTCAACACAAAAATTTTCACCCCTGTCTATAATCATCCAGTACTCTAAGGTTGTCGTATACACCTTCGTCCTGGGCAAGAATATAAACTCCATCCGCCAGCAAAGTTTATAATCGGAAGATTGTAGTTTTTGAGGACCGGAGAACAACCTCTTAATTGTTGTTGTTCCCAGATCTACTCTAACACGAGGTGGCAGCACCTGTTAGGGTCCATGCTATGGGCAAATAGGAAACTTTCAAACAGTTCATTTTTATAGAAAAATACAATTGTTATAAAAAATTATCATGAATATATTTTTGTAATAATATTACCAGCAATGCATTTTATTATCTACAAATATATTATTAAAAAAATCATATCTTTTAGCCTGAAAATATAAAATTATGTAAAAATATTAAGATTTCGGCATTAAATAATCCATAGAGGTTGATATATTACTAAATAAAATCAACCAGTAAACATGTATATGCACAAAATCTGAGTATCATCTACCATGTATTCGACTGTGAAAGAAGAATAACATAAATTTTATTACGTCAAAGCTCATAAGAAAATTAAATTTCGGCATTACACATCCCATAAGGAATTGATATGCCATTACACAAACAAAAGAAATAATTC